CCTTTTGGCTGTCCTTTGCCTTGCCACTGCCTGGATGCTCCCTGCCCAGCATTGGCCCTTATGACTCGCTACTCAAAAAACCAGGGGACCTCGCGTAACAAACAGTAGCAGTGGTGGGATTGCAGTGCACCTTGCACTTAAGCCAGCTGAGACACGAATATCGCTGCAGCCCATGGCTGGAGCTACGTGAGTGTCTGTCTTTTCGCTTTTGAGATTTGCCAGGCTTTTAAGGATAGTTTTGTAGAGTGAAGCTCGCAGGTTCTTTTTGTCAATATTCAGCCCCTTCAGGTGAACGCACTAGGTGATATTAATGGAGAATAGATTGTGACGAAAGTTCGAGGTGTCAGCTTGGGCATGAATCTTGTTTCGCTACGCAAGCCCAATTTGTTATTGCTATGCGCGGAATCAGGAGAAGATGTGGGGAATGCCATACGGAAGCCGGGCATCACTTAGGCATTACTTGCCCCAAAAAAGAGACGACAGTGAGCTTCTAGAATTTTGGAAGATTGTTAAAGGGCGCCAGAAAAAAGAGAAAAAAAAGCCAGGCTGAAGTGAAACAACGTCAGGCAATCACGAAAAGGAGGCGTTCTGATGAAATAGACAGACTATTGCTTCAGGTCAAATTAAAGCGGCATGATCTTCAGACTGTGCTAGTGAAACATGCGAGTGTTCCATGATAGATAGATAGATATGTGGGGTTTAACGTCCCAAAACCACCATGTGATTATGAGAGACGCCGTAGTGGAAGGCTCCGGAAATTTCGACCACCTGGGGTTCTTTAACGTGCACCCAAATCTGAGCACACGGGCCTACAACATTTTCGCCTTTATCGGAAATGCAGCCGCCGCAGCCGGGATTTGATCCCGCGACCTGCGGGTCAGCAGCTGAGTACCTTAGCCACTAGACCGCCGCGGCGGGGCGCGAGTGTTCTGTGCAAAGGGAGAGCAGGGACTCATGATGAAACGACTGCTGGAAACAATGACTGTGCAGCAGAGGTGGCTTATCAATTAGGCATCTGGTGCCACTAAGAGAATCGTGCCTTTGCCCCTTTAGCGGACTGCCACACAGCGATTGCCCTGAGTGAAAAGCCTAAACGTGAGCTAGCTAACTACAGCGAAGAAGTACAATTGCCCCAGAATAGCTCAACTGACGAAGCTCGAAAAGTTGTCTTAAACAGGAATGATGAATGCCGTAAAGAGGGCTTGGAAAAGGTGTCTGTGATTGCAGAGGGTACTTTCTCAAAGAAACGCTGGCTGTTTGATTTTGAGCTGGAGGAAGGTGTTGGCAGTCATGTTGGTGTCTTGTGAAGGCTCCAGTATCATGCGACTGGAAACAAACCTTTTGCCTTGAACACCCTCTTTGCTGTAACGTGCAGAGGAAAACCCGTGAAGTATCCAAGAAGTTTCACATAGTTCTTGAGACATGCATCTAAAAGAACGTGCTTCAAGGAGGCTTTACGTGTATGGTCGGTTGAACATGTTCAGGGTTTCCGCCGCCTGGTTAGGGGCGCAATCACTTGATTCTTCTGCCTCTCACCTGCAAACTTTATTGACTGTTGTAAAATGAGCCTGGTGGGTCTTAAAGAGGATCGTCTGGTGCTCGTGGCAATCACTGCGATGGTGCATCTGCAGAGTGCAAGTCCGGAGGCCAGAATCAGTTCAGTGCGAAATATGAGCTGTGGCGGACGCTATGCGCCAGCAGATGTTTCGGGCGTCTCAAGGAACAAACACATCTGATTCCCTCAGAGTGACCCTCTGAACAGTCGCTGCGGACCCTTGTCCATTGGGTCAACGTTACCCCAGGAGAGAGGCTGTCATGAGTGTCCCACGAGCCATCACTGTAAAAGCTCCCACAGGCTGTAACCAGAGCCCAGCTACTTGAAAACTGCCCAAGGATGGCCCATTTGCAGACGCTGTGTGTGTCCGGCACGAACACTGGGTGCGTCTCTCAGAGACACTGGATGCATCTCAACCACAAAGCTGCGCCTTTCTCCTAAGCGTCTCAGTGCCTGTAAAATACTGGCACATGTAGCGTCAAAGTGGTTCCTCGTGGTTCCTCGTGGGGGTGCCCTAGCACCCCCTCCTTCATCCCTCCAACAAGTAGTAGATAATGAGGAGCAGTTGGAGGCTGCCCTATGCAACTTGAAACCCGATGTCCAGGAGGACATCCTGGGTTGGGCAGAGAGAGTTGCGGAGGGCTACCGTGTGTAGAAACTTCTTTTCATCTCTGTCTAATTGCCCATTTCCTTTCCAAAGAAAAAATAAAGTTCTTACGGCCGCCACCACCTTGTCCACATTTTGTACATACGTTGTAATTCAAAGTTTTCCTTCTCTCTGCCCTTTTCCTTACCACTGCCTGGATGCTCTCTGCACAGTGCTCGCCCTAGCAACACGCTACCCAAGAGGCCATGGATTTGGGAGCGGACTTGGGGAACGCCATGCGGAAGCCGCACACCATTCAGGCATTACTTGGCTCAAAAAGAGACAGAGAGCTTCTACAGTCTTGGAAAATTGTTAATGGGCGCCAGGCAAACGAGAAAAAGAGCCAGATTGAAGCGATACAGCGTCAGGCAAATGAGCAAAACAGGCCATCTGGTTTACAGAGTGTGCACCATCATAGAAAGTGCACAAGCGGGGCGCTGAGTGCGCTCTTTGCGTCATCTGGCTCGTAATGCAGAGAGTGCACTGACATTACCCCGAGGTCAGCATCCCGCCAGCAGCAGAGTGTGTACATAAACAATTCACTCACTGTTCGTATGCAGAAGGACGTGCATTGTTGTGTCTGAGTGGATTAAAACTCTGCGCTTCAGAGTGAGAGATATAGCTCGTTCGAATCTGAGCATCAGCAAATTTTTTTATGATTTTTTAGGCTTTCATACATTATATATGCATACATATGCATGAAATTTCAGCAATGCAATGCCGACAGCAAAAAGCAGCCGAGAGTGTTCATATAATTGCTACCCTTATAAAATGTATGAAACGCACGACCAGGCATTCAAACCTACGAACTCGCTCTGCAGCACGTGGTGTTGAACTACTCAGCCATGAAGCATACGTCCTTCAATCCGCTAACAGCAAGCTATTCATATACACCACTTATCGGTGGACAGTAGAGAGAGCTCGAAGGTGCTTAGGCCTCTCCTCTTTATCACCGACGAGGTGGCGCGAAAAGTGCTCACTTTCAGGGTCGTTGCCCAGCTCAGATGTCACAGAAGCAGCCATGCTCGCGCGCCTCTTACCCGTACCGCCTGTACTTTGCCCTACAAAGCGTAGTCAATTATGCGCACGCTTATCTTGTAAGGGGGCAGTTTGTACGTATTGTGCTTTTAGTGCAAAGCTTTCATTGATGTTACAGAGTGCATGAAAGTCACTTCGCTCACTAAAGTGGACCGTGTTTGCGATAGGAATGAGCTGCTGAATAGATAAGCCGAAGTAGAGACAGTCAGTTGTGCATAGCCGGTACTTGCTGAGTGCTGTTTAAAAACAATTCATGAAGAATTGTGACAGTTGTCATCTCGTGTATACCTTCACGGTTGTTTCGTATACGTTTTTGCGTTTGAGCAGAGCGCAGCAAATGTGGAGCTTTGACAGTTTGGTATTTCTGTATTTGTTTTGTGCGTCATTTGTGCTTGAGCAGTGGGCTACAAGTTACGAGCTACTTGTTGTTCTTTTTGTGAAATTCAGATTTGCTGCTATCGAATTCATTGCTTGGTCCTTGTGATGAAACTGTCATGTGTGCTCTCCTATGCTTACGTTTGAAGTCAAGTGGTTGGCGAAATGCCTCTTTGCTGTAATAAAGGCGCAATGACCACGCTTAGCTGCTGAAACGTTTTCTACTAAATCATATCGCACAGGTTAGAGAATTTTAATGCTGGATGCTCCCTTAGACTCCTCGATAGTGAAACAGCAACTACCTCTCTATTCCCTACGTCATAGCTGCACAACGCAAATGCATTCTGACAGTATGTTAGAATATATATAGCTTTCTTAAATACTCATAAGTTATGTGCTCTGAGTGTAGCAGACTCTGTGGACATGATATAGAGCGTCGTTTGCACAAGTAGTAAAGGCTGTCGGCATGTCAGGTAAACCAGTAGATTACACTAAAGCTTCTGAAGTGACGGAGGGGCTCCGTGCCTGACGCCGACACGCAGTCATATTACTCAAGGCAGAAAGAGGATGGGCGAATTGTAGCGTACGTGGCTTTCACGTTGTTTTTGTGCTAGTAATATTGCGTGTGGTGCCTCTAATTGAACACAATGCATGGTTCTGAACACGCCAGTGATCACTTCTCGAGAAAACGATGGTGGGCTCTTGGGTATCCCTTGGTTGCGAGAATCCTGTGAAGCAGGCACTGGGCACAACTTTCCATGTGAAATTGAGCATGCTTCATTCGCTCACTTTTTCTCACATACTTTTGTGACTATGACTGCACTCCCACACGTAAACTCTTTATATTGTTATGGGGGCTATTCCCAAAGGGTTGTTATTTGCGAGGGCTTATGATTGTGTGCGAGCAAAACTTTCATTTTTGCTGCATTTCCTTATTGGTTACTTCTGCTTTGAGGCAACTTTGTAAACATACCATGTGAATTGATATCTCTGAGTGCCTTTTTTTAACGCATCTAAAATGCTAAGTGTAAAAAACGAATTCAAGCAGAAGTGCATTAAGGTCACTCCCACATTCCCTTGCCTCCTAAGAATTAAAAACAGGTGCTTTATTAGCTATAACGAGACGTGCAGCCGCAAGCATCTAGAGCATTACGGCGCTACAGGGCAGTCACTGCCTCTTTCTGGCCTGAGGAGTATTATCACCACGGCTTCACTTTGATACGTGGGCGGGTATGCAGGACCCCCACTTCAGAAGCTTTAGTATAACCTCCTTGTGTGTAAACGTGTGTGTGAGCGGAACTCCTTACTGACAGCATGTGCTCAGTGCGAGAAGGAGAGAGCTGACTGCGAGTGTAATCGCACTTCTGACCTTGGCCTGCCCAGCAGCGCTGTGCTATCCACAGTGCATGAACGGAGGAACGTGTGTGGCTCCGGGAGTGTGCGACTGCGCCATCGGATACCAGGGACCGCACTGCGAAGGAGGTGAGTGGAATACTCTGCAAACAAGCGAGTTTTTAGATATGTGAATGAAGAAAAAAAAATAATAGAAACTCACTTTTTTTAATGTAGCAATAAAAATTCACAAAATTTTCACAAAGAGAACCCTGATGGGATGCGAAGCGGCAGCGTTGCGCACGGGTGGCATTACAGGTTGAACGGCGCATACGTGGGTGCTGCGGTGAGTGCTGAAAGATTCGTTTGAAGCGGTGGCTGGCGTAGGTCTTTTTGTTCCTTCAGAGTGGACCCAGGTACTAGACTGGAGCTTGCGCGCGTTTCGTCTTGACTGCCACGGCTCTGTGATCGGTGAAGTGCACGCTGAGAAGTTCCTGCATACATTCGATGTCAAAGTTAGCGAAGACTAGATCGATGCACGTTCTCCTTATCGTGGTGGGTAGTTTCCAATCCGCTGACACGCACTTGCGATCGCATGTCGCACATGTATTCGACCAGTCATTCTCCTCCTCCTCTGCTGATGTCAACGTTGAAGTCTCCCACGGCCGTGCCCGCGACTATAAAAGGTAAGAGGCGCACACCGACACACCTCCCCGATCAGTCAGCATTTCCTCCAGACAGCGCTGAACCTGTTCGTTCCTTCGCAAGGTTGGTAGCGAGGTACAGCGCAAGAATCGTGATGTCTTGGACGCACACGGCAACGCACTCACATAAAACATAAAAGAAGCTATTCTATCTCTAATAAATGTCTTGAACGGCTAGTCGAAAGGGCTAATAGACATCTGGTCATGACATTTTATAGGCGTAGACGGGCATCAGACCATGAGATAGCTGTGGTAATGTCCTGCTAGTTGTCATCTAAAAGAAGTTCTGCAAGACTAATTTTAGATGTTTTCATTTTTTTTTGCTGTAGTAGCATTAAAAACATAAAACAAGCAATTACAACATATTAGAAGGATGTCAATTTCGGCTTGATGGTTTACCATACTCACAAACTGTTGCACGTGAAAGATGTAGACAGGAACACAGAAAAGCCTCTTTGTGTTCCTGTTTACGTCTTTTACGTGCAATAGTTTATGAGTGTGTCAAAGTCAGCACCCTTCTAACATGTTATATGAATTGTTTTGCATTTTTAATTTTGTGTGTCTCTGTGTTCCTGTCAATTATTCATCTACGAAGGTTTACGAGTAAACCATTATAATATCTTTGGTCAGCAGGCTGATGACTACCACAAAAAGTAAAAGGGATAGGAAGCGCTTTACTGTCATTTTACTCACCTCCTGCGTCAGCCGCCGTGCTGGAGACCAAAAAATTCGGCAATATACTTGTAAATTTAACCAACCATCACAGATGTACATGCAAGCTTCTATTGTGCTGATAATAGTAAATCTAATAGGCACAGAATTGACTCACTTCAGAATCAAATTTCTTGTAAAAGGACAGGCACACCATGCTTCAATGTAATAATTACTCCATTCTTTGCAAAGAGGCTTTATTATTAATAAAGTAGAAACCAATACTGCACAAAATTTAATTGAAAGTGTGACAGCAAGGCAAGTCTGACAGCGCCTGTAGCCAAGAAAATTCAGTTTCTCCATCAATGTGCTCCAGGACACAAGCTGCTACAGAATCTGACACCGTAGTGGACTCCACGTGCTATGCTTAAAAGCAGCAGTGAAGAAAAGCTGCACACAAGTAAAAGCAAGTAAAGAAGGTAAATTTTTTAACTACGCAGTATGGTAAGGCATTTTAAATAACATTATATGCATGACGGCGGTCAGATCTGCAATGCAGCAGAGGGTGCTAAGAATTTCTAGATTCGGAGAGGCTGCCATTGGAACCTGAACTTGGCAACGTTTAACACTAGAACCTTATCTAGTGAGAGAAGTCTAGCTGTACTATTCGAGGAGATAGAGGGCGTTAAATGGGATATAATAGCGCTCAGTGAGGTTAGGAGGACAGATGAGGCCTATCTACAGAATGGGCACGTCCTTTGCTATCAGGGCTTGGCAGACAGAAGAGAACTGGGAGTTGGGTTCCTTGTACACAGAAACATAGCTGACAACTTAGAGGACTACTATAGCTATACTGCAAGGGTGGTAGGTATCGTAATTAAACTCGATAAAAGGTACAAGACGAAGGTGGTTCAGGCTTATGCATCTACGTCCAGCCATGATGACACGTCACAGGAGTGGAAGCTTGGGCTAGTTGGTGCGTAGTCATATTTGCGAGATGTTTCAGCGCGCGAATAAAGGAAAAATGAACAGGGTAGACAGAAAGAGCGCTGACTTCCAACTAACTTTATTTCACAGAGTGGCAAGAATATATACGTCTAAAAAAGGATGATTACAGAGCATGAAGTTGAAATGCAAGCCTAATCTACACATTGTAACAAAGCACGTGTGACGGGTCCTCTATTGCCTCACAGCCCAGCCAGGTAATCTCATTCAGCCTGTGATAAAGCAACGGATAAATTGCTTATGCATTTATCTCCTAGCACGTGTATTTTTTCTGCTTCGATAATTTCTCAGGTGAGCTGGTCCCTGTGCCTTGCCAATATAGAGCACTGATCAAAGAGGGGTGTGCACCCACAATCTCAGCAATGAATGCCAAGATGCCCTTGTACCACATTGTGCACATTGTTTCTGTGTTCTCGGAGGCGGTCATTTATGCACCTGCCGGTTTGGCTGACATAGATGCACCCACACAGTCAGTGGAAACTAGATTCCACTGACGTGTCTAATACAATACAGCCAGGCACAGCACACTCATACGGGTCTTGAAACGTCTCTTGTATAGCCAAGCACAGTAGTCTTATGCCAACACACCACTTGTAGCGACAACTGCACTAATATCCTCTGATGCGACACCAATACAAAGAAAAGAAGTCAATTTCGGTGTATGTATGTATTCTGTCCGTATCAGTTGAACCTTGCTGGATGTTCGCAGGCATGAGAAACTCGCGCATCAGCAACAGCATTCAGTTGACGATGCTTTTGTCATCCAGATAAAGCTTTCAGAGGCTTTTTCTTTCTTTCCATTACCACAGCTACAGTGCCTGAAAGTGTTCACCCTAAAATTTGAAAATTTAGCCTGCCCCACGACCAAAAAATGTTCTTTGTAAATATGACTGTATGACTTTCGTGCCAGAACGGTACAGTTCCTTACCATCACCATGGGCTGACTGCAGATTGTCAGCAATGGAAATGCTGGGCACCCACTGAAGTATGACGCACCAAGTATTCAGAACGTTCCCACAAAGACAGACTGCCGCTGCAGTGGTTAAAAGGTTCAGATTGTTTTTAAAACCTTTCTAGCCACTGTACTAGGCTCCAGAAAATAAGGGCTGGTTTCACGCACCGTTCTCAGCAGTAGGCTGTGATTCCCGTCTCGTCCAGGAACTGCGCCAGGCTCTAGGGCACTAGTAGATGGGAACGCTTGCATGCGAAGTGGGAAAGGAGGGCTTCTGTGTAAGCCTCCTACTCTCGATTTTTCATTTTTGCCTTCTATTTTGGGACGTCACCGGTGACGTCATAGAAAAAATTTTCTGTTCGTCATTTATTTCTAGTAGGATGCCCGGCAACCGCCAGTGGTAAAAGTGGCGCTACCGAGAAGGCATACATGGCAGGTATAGGGAGCTTCCGCCCCCTGACTGTACTGCCGTCGCTCACCCTGGCAAAGTTGTCATGCTGGAAAGTTGATTCGCACTGAACATAGAAGTGCGCACCAAGACGTCGGCGTGCCGCCGCTGCCGATCTGTTCTCTCAATATGTTATTTATGTACAATTAAATTTTGTTAATAAACCTGCCTTTTTTTGCCAGTTTATTGTGTCGCCAGTAAATCGATGATCCTTTCTTAATCCTGCCCTCTAGCAAACGCATTTCAATCGATTCGCCTGCCCGTTACAATTACATAGCTGAATAGAAAAACTTGTTCAGTGCACCTGATAATGTAGAAAGATAGTGTTGGACTCAAACTAAACGTTATTTTAAGCTTCTGTCAAGCCCACTGTCGGTGACAGTGGGCTTGACAGGTTGGTCAAATACAGATCGGTGACGGCGCCAATGGCAGTGTTTGACGAGGACTATATATCAACTTATTCTTGCTGACAATCGAGCATATATATTCCCTTTCACACAACAGGGAGTATTCGAGTAGGGTTTTCAAACGTCTGGGGCCCCAAAGAAATAGCATAAAGGTCACTGCGCATGCGCCAAACCCAAAACGCGTTTGCGTTGGCGATGCTATTTCTCGAATTTACAGGAGAAACCCCAAAACCTGCCCTAAATTTTTTGGGTCAGACGAACGTCACGGCGCCCACTGAAGTGACGGCTCTCAGCCGAGACTAGAGTGACGAAGAATAGAGGGAGTGTCCGAAGTGCGGCAGACTTTATTTGAAAACTCATCGCTCCTGCTTGACCCAAAGCCTCTGTACGCAAAAAGCTTTGGGGCCATAAACTTTTGGGGTCTCTATTCGAAAACTCCCTAATATGTAAGAATAAAAGGCGTGAAAAGTCGGTATTGGAATAACAATCGATCCGACTGTGAAAGCGAGTGAAAGAACAGTTACAGTTCAAAGGGGAAGATCGGCGCGAGTTAATGTAAAAGCACTTCTATGCGTATGGAAGCAATTGCTTATATTGCTCAGCAGTCTAAATGAGCAAAAGCCAGCTGTTTGCGACACACATATTTATAAAATGCCTATTAAGGAATTAGAAAACAGCCTTTGATGAAGAAATAAAGGGAGAAACACAACAGATGGAATATCCTCTATCAAACAAACAATCCATTTGGCAGGTTTAGCAAGGTCGACAATTGGGTGAGATTGAGATACCACATAAACTTTGTGCCAATTACTGCACTGAACATGCATAATTCGCAACACTAAAGTGTGAAAGAGTAATGTCTTGTGTTTTCTCCGGTTTGTCAAGTACTCGCCTGACAATCAAATCAAGTAATCCGCACCATCACTTCGCCTTTACTCCAGTTGCTGATTTGTCACAATGGTGTTTGAAACAGGACATCACTA